AGACGCACCTTCATCAGCCTCGGGCTAATGCACTCCACCGTCCTACCTTCCTCGCCCACACTCTCCCACATGGCCTCCTTGATCGCTATGCCCACACCGTGTACGCCTCTCTTGTCCTTGGTGCCAGCACGGGCGCCACTCCAGATGATCACGTACCCATCGTGTGCAATTGAACCTTGCCCCTCTTGTCGGGTCTCCTGAAGTCCTATCACATCACAGCCGGTCGCGGAACAAATCTACATGACCGTCATCACGTTGTCACCGATGGGGTTCCTACCGCTGTAGGCCAGCGTGCGTACGTTGAACGTGCCGAACGATAGGTCGCCCTCTCGTGCCTTCTTCTTCGCAGCCGCCTTGACGGCCGCTGCGGTCTCGTGTCTCTCTCGGTGCGCCTCGCGTTGCGGGTGTGTTTTCTTCCGTATTTTCCGAGCGGCGAGTTTCCTCGCATCAATCCATCTCTGCAGAGCTCGGTTCTTGCCTGTGGTGTTTTGACGAGAAGGGTGCACCACTCCCTCCCCGCGGTGCCCGCGGTTGTCTCCCTTGTCCCGCGAGCGGTGCTTACTGACGTGGTGTTAACGAATCTCTCTACTCCTCCAGCTTCGTGGGCCACGCTTCCCGCGACGGTGGTTGCCAGATGCAGTTTGCCGATTTGCATTACTGCCGCGGGAACAGTGTCCATACACACCTCTCGCCACTACCACCGTCTGTGCATCCTCACCGCCACGCTGAGCCAGCGCGGCGGTGAGTTGCACCTTGAAACACAACCCGCCTGCTATCTGTTGTGGCCTGGTTCGCCCGCGAGGGACTTACTAGGTCGATTTCGGCCCCTGCCGGGGAGCAGGCCGAGGGGGAAGGAGTAGTGTAATTTTGTTGTCCGTATTCCGTATTGTCCTCTGTCATAGCCTCCCGGGGCGATCGTCGTACTTTTGTGAAATCATACAACCCGGGGCTATCTCAGAGGTACAGAGGTCATCCTTAAAAAAAAATAAAACCCCAGTTCCAAAAGACCCCGGGGGGTATAAAGCAGCACTGACAACAAAACCAACACCAACAAATACGGCAACAGCCACACACACGAGAACTATCGCCACAATGGAATGCCGTCTGTGGGTTTGTGTGCGAACGTCCCGTTGGGACGCCCCAAAATATTGCCGAAGAAAGACCACCCCGGGGCTATGTAAATCAGGGGTAGAGCGGCGATTAAATGAAAACACGATACCGGGGCTAATTCAAAGCTTTTTCGGATACCATCGCGTTTTTTTCCGGGGGGGGGGGNGGGGGGGGGGGGGGGGGGGGGGGGGGGGGGGGGGGGGGGGGGGGGGGGGGGGGGGGGGGGGGGGGGGGGGCTTCGACGTGGACGAGGGCTACGACTGAGAATATTATGGTAGTCGACTCTTCATCGCCGAGAAAGCAGAGGGCGTCATCACCGTGTGACAAAGCTCACCTTTGGACCCTCGCCCCCCCTGACCCAACAGTCTCGTTCTCTGAATAATATGGCGCTCCCGTCCGGCCTAACGCTACCGTCCTCCACGAGTTTTCTCGCGTACCGTGGCGTTGGGACTCCCTCGACCGTAGACTTTAACAAATACGAACCCGGTCCAGGAAAATGCGAGGTTAGCCTGTCGTCATCGAAGAAGCGCTCCGCAGTGTGGTAGGCTCCAAACAGCACCATTATCCTTCCTGGTGGACAAAGCATACCGTACATGGCAACAGCAGTGTCCCCGTGTACTGCGAGGTGAGTGTTCGATCTTGTGTGACTCATCACGTGGGGTGTCGTCGTCGCGTTGTCACACGAATTGCCAGAGCACACTCACCAACGATGGGCTAGTCATGGCTGACAAGGACTCCCTCTTTCTCTCGCAAAGGTGTCGATTACACAGCAGTGTCAAATTGTTCCTGCTGTTACGCAAGTGCAAATACGGTACATTCTATCAAACACATTTAGACCACAGCAGTAGAATATGGTACATATCTCTCGGTCTTGTCGCTCTCTCTCTCTCTTCTCTCGTTGGCTCGCTGATAACGCTGGATAAATCGGAGCCTTACCTCAACGACTGCTGTGAACCAGGGGAAGTTTGTCTCCGCTTGCAGCAGCTCTCTCCAAGCTCACACATGTTTGTACTGCTGTACTGCGATCAGCTCATCGGGTCACATGACAGACGGACGAAGAACCTGCCGAGATGTTCCTCTTCGGGATTGTTCCGCCGCTGGTTCGAAGGGGGGGTGGGGGGGCTACCCCCGCGTGACTCTTGCACTGCCTGCTACCCCGCTGTTCGGTGATGTGCAAGCTGCGCGACGGGCGCACGCTGACGGGGAGTGCAGGATAGGTGTCCCCGTCTTCGTCACATTGTCTTCGCCGCCAACCAATCCGCGCGGGAATGCAGATACCGGTGGATGGCTGGGTCAGAAACGCGCTGATGTGGGCAATGTGGAGCCTGTATATTTGTTTGGCCATGGCGCTAACACTTGGACGTAGTGATGGCCCATCGGGGCAGGGGTTCTCGAGCTTGAGAGTGGAGAATCTCTTGTCCAAGATGACCCTGGAAGATAAGGTGAGAGCTCATTCGTCTCTGCCTGAAGGTACACGGGTACACTCAACACCCACGTATTCCGGCAATCAGCAAGCAGTTGTACAAACTATCCGAGGAGCGGAGGCAGTTGATCCACCCCAAGATTCAAGAGCTTGGGATAACTTGGTCTGTTCCTTTGTGCCTGCTTTGGCCAGCGACCTTCCGTTGCAGCACCAACCCAACTTGAAATAGTGGGCTCGATGTGCCCCCACAGCGGGGAGTGGCGCATGAGAAGAGGCCGTTAGCTTCCGGCGGCAGGTTGGTGAAGATAAGACTTGGATTGGATGAGACCGACAACTCCGAACCTGGTCAGCAACTTGCAACAGCAGCAGCGGCAACAGGCTAATAGGCCTTTGCTCCATCGGCCGTTGTGTTTGTATGACGGAGAATAAGAAAGTGAAACTTACATGAAATTAGTATGGAAATGAACTTTGTGTATCTAAATTAAATATAATAAAACGGCCGATGGAGCGAAGGCCTACCAGGCTAAACGGACACGACGCGACCATTGTACCGCACGATAGTAGACTGAGTGCGATGCACTTGTTGCCGCACCAGGGAAGCGCGGCAACGTGTACATAGTCCCACGCACATGTACTGGCTCCGCACTTGTCAGCAACTTGCAGCAGCAGCAGCGGCAACAGGCTAAACGGACACGACGCGACTAGTGTACCGCACGATAGTAGACTGAGTGATGCACTTGTTGCCGCACCAGGGAAGCGCGGCAACGTGTACATAGTCCCACGCACATGTTCTGGCTGCGTTGGATAGTAATCCTACGAAGGATGGCAACGTGTACACAACCAATCGCACACATCTCGAGGTGTGCATCTACCGCTCGCCACGGAAAACACATGCCCCTACCAAGATTCCACATCGCCTATTAATAGGACCTTTATTGCTATGTTCAGGTGGGACAAATGACCCAGGTCGATATCGGGGTGTTCGTCGATCCCGAGACGGGCGTGTTAGACGAACAGAAACTTACGGCCTTCGTCACTCGATACCGTATCGGCTCGTTGTACAACACGCCTTTCGCCGTCCACTCTGGGAGGTGAGGGGACGGGCACAGCTGGCACGTCTGGTGCACACAGTGGCGGTTTGAGTTGTCGATGAAGCGAAACTTCGATATTATAGTGTGATGACGACAATGGGCCGCTCGCAAAGGGTTCAGTCTCAAGACAACATCAATTAGCGTTAATTGCATCTCTGGTCTCAGTGTTGGTGTTGGTCTTATTGTTGTAGTAGAATTGTGAGTCCCTTCGGGGGGGCGACCTTGTTGCACCGACAGCAGGGTCGCCTTTTTATTGGCCACCCAACCAACGCAGTCGGCGCTGGTAGTAGCAAACCGCGCAAACAAACGAACCCGAGTTGGTTTGGACTGATGGTAGGCTTACCCTTCGGGCGGATGGCCACCGCATCTCGCTGGTTGCACTCCACAACCTGACATCGCCTTTGCCCCTCTGTTGCTAGCTATGTAACTTTTGGCGTTGTCGTCATCGTCGTCGTCCCCATGCAATGCCACACCACGCTTCCGTTCAAAGCTGGGAGGCATCGAAGTGGCGACAGGTCATCCGGCGCGCCCAGCAGATCGCAGAGGGTGCCGGGAGCAAACTGCCCCTGTTGGTCGGCTTAGATTCTGTTCACGGAGCCAACTACGTAGAGGTGGGATAACGTTTGCCGTTATAGTACTGGAGTAGATTGCATTACACCAAGGATGACGCTTCAGAGATAATCTGTGTGTTCAGTCTTGGACGGGTTACGTTTCTCCATTTGAAGCTATGCAGTAGCAGCAGCAGCCTCTTGGGTGTTTTTTCCGTCAAGGCCGAGCTGAAGATTTTCTATGTGCTAAACCCTGAGATTGACCTCCATTCCCCTCTTGACTGTTTCCCGTCTCACGTGCACGGATCAGGGGGCAGTGCTCTTCCCGCAGCAGATCAACCTCGCTGCCACTTTTAACCCCGCGCTGGCCCGCGAGGCCGGGCGTGTCGCCGCCAGAGATAGCCGCGCCGCGGCAGTCCCCTGGCTGTTCGCACCTATCCTAGGACTCGCGACGCAGCCGCTGTGGCCTCGGGTGTACGAGACCTTCGGGGAAGACCCCTTCCTCACCTCAAGGATGGGAGAGGCGCTGGTAAAGGGCATCCAGGCGTCGCAGGAGTGGGGTAGCGGGGACTCGGACGATGGGGAGCCCCTGCGTGCCGCCGCTTGCATGAAGCACTTCTTGGGGTACAGCCACCCCACCTCGGGGCACGACCGTTCTCCGAGCCGGATCCCGGAGCAAGAGCTGCTGGAGATGTATCTGCCGCCGTTTCAGGTAGACTTACTCAACTCAATTTCTGGTGGTGAGCGTGAAACGACCTGGTACTTGTACAGTAGGGCCCCGGTTTAGCGACCCCCTGTTTAGCGACATGCCCTGTTCAGCGATATGCCCTGTTCAGCGATATGCCCTGTTTAGCGACCCCAAAGTCTCGTGACACCGCTGCACCCCGGTTTAGCGACCATGGTCGCTAAACCGGTCGAGCCCTCAGTAACGACTTATTGGGCTATTTCCCGCGGGCAATAGCGACCATCGGTTCAATTTTTGCGGAGACCCCGCGTTCCTTCACACACATAGACACAACACCGTGGGACACGTGCACACACGCAACATACCGTGCGCCGATGAAGAGTTGTGCAAACAGCCGGACGTGGAACTGCGGGCACTCCAGGGGCATGTTCGCCATGGTGGCTGCGGTGGACGCCTGCACCGGATGTGTGGGGAGGTGGAGGTTCTCGATGGCATCCGAGATGCACCGCACCTGCCACGAGTGTGCATCCAAGAACATGAGGCTTCCCCACCCGTCTCGAATCCACCCAACGCAAAGAGAGATAGAGGTAGATGGGGCAGGAGACGTTGGCGATGCGGGGGGTGGAGGAGTGATGGCGCCGCCGCCCCACTCGGAGGTTTCGTCGCATTTTGGGTCGCTACAAGAGTGCGCGGAGTCGTGTGGGTTAAGCGAGGCAGCGTACCATCTTCGGAAGGAAAAGATGCTGTTCATTGAAGCACACTCCGCGAAACCAGCGCAACAGACATCAGAGATGTGTTTTTGTTAAACATGATCGGTACACGCGAGGTTATTTGCCGCTTGGGCGTTCACGAACTTTCTCGGTGCCATGTAGGGGCGTTTTGTTTTTGTTTTTTGGGGGACGTTGCCATGACTTTTCCCCCTTTCCCGCCTTTTTTTTGTTATAGTTCGCAGGTGGGACTTCTACGTGCTTATTTTGTGATGGTCTGCATATAGGGACAGCTTGTTCAGCATGCGGGAAAAAAAACACACAAGGCACCCTCTGTACACTTGTTTTTGAGGCATTTCCTACAAACTTCGGAGGGTACAACAAGCTGGCTGGGTTGATTGGAGTGCATACCGCATATGTAGGAACTACTTCCTGGTTGTCCACCCTAATGTTGTTCTTGTTTCCTCTACCTTCATGTGACTGCTCCAATACGATGCATACGCATCCCGGTCAAGAAGATTTCTGCAACACAACCGTTAGTCCCACGAAATGGCGCTTTTTCCCGGATTAGCGACATGCCCTGAATGGCGACCATATTTCGTCGTGACACTAGGGATCGCTAAACCGGGGCCCCCACTGTACATAGTATTGTCCATCCGATGTCGGTCTCGGACTTGAGTGTTTTTGCAAGTCGTGATCACACCATATGCATGCCTAGATTACTGTTTCCAGGGGGTCTTGGGCACTCGAACTCTCGCGTTTCCCCACTCATGACCGCATTGCATCCCACCAATCTCCTCGGCGCACATCGACGTATGTACCACTTCTCAGGCAGCCGTGGACGCGGGCGTTTCTTCCGGCATGGAGAGCTACAATAGCCTCAACTCCATCCCGCTGGCGTCCTCTCGAAGGTACCTCATCGATATCCTACGGGGCCGGCTGGGATTCCTGGGCATGTTGGTCACCGACTACGCGGAGATTGCCAACCTGGAGCACCACCACCGCGTCTCGGCCGGCCAGGAGGAGTCGGTGTTCATAGCCATGGAGGACACGAGCATCGACATGTCCATGGTGCCCCTGGACGCAACGTTCGCGGAGAGTCTGCTGAGGTTGGTGCGCGACGGGACGGTGTCGAACAACAGGATAGAGCGGTCGGTGCGGAGGATCCTCGCCTTGAAGGTATGTACGCGTGGAGGTGCGGTGGAACTGCTGTCGGCTCATACGTCAGCGGCGATTTTTGACGCCGTTCGTTTGGAGTGGTTTGGGCTGGGCTGAGCTTGCTGCAGCGTGCAGTGCGTTGTGTGTGACGCGGCTAGAGGGAAGGGGCACACCAGTGCTCGTCTCGGATCATCAATGATTTGGACTGGGTTGGTATTGGTACCTGTGTCTACTTCTGTATGAAGGAACAAAAGTTTTTGTCATGTGCTTCCCTGGGCGCGCCAGATATAAATATTCATTCCGCGCTGTGCTTTTGCGCCAAAAACAAGCCTTAAACCAAACGACCTTAGAGCATCTTGCACTACTCTCTTTTGGTCTCCTGACCGCGTAACACTCGTCCGACAGCAAGATCAACGGCAGTGGCCCCCGTGCCCCTCCTCTCCCCGGACCCAACAACCCTTGACCCACCCCACGCCAACTTTGTTTTTTGCGGGGGTAGGAAGTACTGGGGCTCCTCGACTCTCCGGTACCGGCATTGCAGTCCCCGCTGCTGGGAAAGATAGGGAGTCAAGAAGACCATGAGGCAGCTCTGCAGGCGGCCAGGGAATCGATCACCCTCCTCAAGAACGGGCACGTGCCCACGAAGGGAGAAGAAGAGGAAGAGTCGGTTAAGGCCCTGCCCTTGGATCGGTCGAAGGGTGGCAAGCTGCTAGTGGTGGGGCCGGCCTGTGACTCGTTCACGCTGCAGTCGGGGGGCTGGACCAAGCACTGGCAGGTATGGTACGCGGCCTAAGGCGGGTCGTTGTTGTACGTTCTGGGATTTGTGCCGTAGTTTGTCGCTCTTGCCTCCGCGACCCAAAGCTTCCCTCGTTTCGCGCTGGTGGCGCAACCGTTACCGTTTCCGTATGCATGGAACTTTCGGGTGGAAGCTGTCCGTGACTAAAGGGTTCCATAGTACGAGGGAGGATACCGAGCCCCACAAGAGCTCTTCGCGGTGAAATTAGAAAGTACGATGTTGTTTGCGTTTGATTGACGCTGTTTGGGGTTTTGTGTTCTTATCCCGAAAAATGCCTGGGGTTAAGCCTAGACTTGGCATTCAGATGGTGTTGGCATTTTAGCTAGAGAGGAACACTGTGTCCGACGCCACTGTTCTTGATGATGATGTCCCACGTGTAGGCAAGGGAAAGTCGAAGTCGTCTTGGCAAGGTCTGGGGCACTCGAGGTCTTTGTTTGGCTTAGGTCGGTTGATCTTTTTGCGGCATTCGGCAAGATCATTGTGACAGGGTGAACGTACATACCAGTACACTATAATAGTGAGTACGATGAGTACCAAAACATAGCAGAGAGTCAAGACCGTGCGGTTGCCTTCCTCTCCTCAGACCCTCACCCTACTCCCTCACTTGGAGTTATGTCGTGTCGTTCCCCCGAGTAGTGTCGGTGGTGTTCTCGTCCCTTTGGTTCGTGATGCATCTAGCGATGATCTCGAGCGGCTCCATCTTCGAGGATGACAAGGTCACCCTATCCGCGATCCGCGATCGGCAACACCGTTGAACACCAACGTCGTTCGTATTTTGTTGGTGTTTTGTTTGCCATGCCGTGAGACGTACCCGCTTGCGGAACTTCAAGTCAATGCCCGGCCTTTCCACGTACGTGCATGGTTTGCGGCTGCTTATTCTTTGAACTTATGTGCCCCGCGCTTCCGGCGACTAATGAAACGTGTGCTGCGATCTTTGGCGGATCTTTTAGGGTGCTTCGAATCCGAAAGAGTTTTCTTCGGACGAAGGGTTGACAATCCTTCAAGGAGTTCAAGGGTACCTGGACGGATCCCTGAAGGTAGGGGTCGGCGAGGAGGGAGAACCCCCT